CCGGGGCCCTCAGGCTCTATTGGACATGACCCCTGTTCTCCCTCCCCAGCCCTGGGTAACCTTATGTGCTCCTTCAAGAATTAGATGCTTGTAGCATGCAAAACATCCTTTTTCATCCTGTAGCTAAGATTGTTTGGGGGTGATTTGTGTAGAAGTGGAGACTTTTAGGAAAGAGTTACTTGCCTTTTGGAAGCTGGCTCCCTGGCTCCCAGTGGGAGGGGTACACTTTGCTTAAGAATGCTGCCACTGCCATCACCAGTTTGCAAATTTTATTTTTTTAATTTTTGAAGGTGGCTTTGCGGATGTTTTTGTGATAAATGTTCAGTGATCTTCCAGGTTTCAGTTTGATTTTTTGGAAGTACTGATTATCACCATAAGATTTTTTTTTTTTAATTTGGAGCTATCAAAAACAATCAAAAAAGTAGTTTCAGCCACTACAGTAAAAATTGTTTCAGGCAAGAATCATTAGTGGATGCTGAAACTAGGAAATGAAAGTATGGTGAGATACAGGATGTTTACATAATCTCAAAGCATCTTCCCATAAGATACTGATTAATTCCAAAGGGAAAAGTAGTAATATTATGATGAGGAAACTTGGCAGATACCACTTTAGCCAAATGATTAAAGTTAGCAACACCAGTAGTGGGACAAATCAACATCATGTGCCTTCTGATATGATGTTCTGAGAAGGACACAGCATCACGTCTGCTATTTCTGCCCAAAACCTGAAACCTGAATCTAATCATGAGGAAACACCAACAAACTCAAACTGTAGAATCTACAAAATAACTGGTCAGTACTCACACGCAAAGAGAGAAATAATTAATGATAAAGTAAGTATAGTAAGGGCCGGCCCGGTGGCGCACTGGATAAGTGCGCCACTTGGGAAGCGCGGCGGTGCTCCCGCCCGAGGGTTCGGATCCCACATACAGACCGGTTCCCGCTCACTGGCTGAGCGAGGTGCGGGAGCAACGCCGAGGGTTGCGATCCGGTTGCTGGTCCCCGGTCCGGTACGGGGGCAACACTGAGGGTTGCGATCCATTGCCGGACACGGAAAAAGACAAAAGACAAAAAAAAAAAAAGTATAGTAAAATGTTAACAGTTGGAGACTTTGGATGAAGACCATGTGAGAATTCTTTGTATTATTTCTGCAACTTTTAGCAAGTCTGAAAGTACTTCAAAATAATAGAAAAAACTGATTTTCACAATTTTATTTTAATAAAAATTATACTCAGATCCCCATATCAGCCAGCCACCAAAGAAAAAAAATTATACATGTGAGAACAGATAAAATAAGCTATATATGTGTTTGTTGAGGAGAGCTTGACATGTCTAAATTGTTTCTGTAGTAAGATAGCATCAAAATCTTGTGTGTCCTAGTAGATATCCAGCAGAAATAAGAGCTTATGTCCTCCAAAAGATATGTACCAGAATATTCATAGCAG